GATATTTCTTTGCTTATTTCATTGAGTTATCTCACTGTCTGTATGGAATTACAGCACAATAAACAAAGAATTAAAACTGAGCAAACGTAAACCTGGAGCTTTTTTCCTAATTAAAAAAATAAAATAAAATAACAATTAGAATATCAGAATATTATCAGACAAAAATCCTATTCTATCTCCCCCTCCCCCAAAAGAGCTATCTTTGACTGCATATTGGTTGTGGTATATTTAAATAGTTTGTTTAATAAAATACATCTTTAAGTCAAACGTTAGGGAAGTCATCAGTAGTAGGACCAGAACAATCCATCTGCTGTTGCCACGGCTTCAGGTAATTAATGGTTGATGTCCATGTGACTCTAATGAGTAATTGCATACAGTATTAATTCCATTCTTCCAGTACATATATAAACAAGAGAACTAGTAGGCAAAAAGGGTGGAAAGGTCTTGCATATGACCAAGTGTGAAGTCTCTATTCCTTAGCTTTCCGAAATCCATGCAGTTTTTTTTAGTCAAGTTCAAGCGAAGTCCCAGAGAGCATTTTTTCTCCTCAGAATTCCTTTTCAAAATGGCAGCATGACCGATGATAGTCCTCTCTATACTTCAGTCCGAAGAGAAATGCCAAATTTGTTCACTGCAAAAACCACAAAACCATACTTTGGTTTCAGAGCGAGTTTATGTTCCAGAAACATCAGGGGGGTCAACATCGGGGCCCAACAGGAAACGTTTCAGCAAACTGGGTCCATTTTCAACCAAGCAGAAATCATTGAAGCTTCCCAGCTCTTTGTAAACATCCACATAAATGCCATAGAAAACGTCCATCTATATTGCATTTCATTTCCAGTTATACAAGGTTTCACTTGGATTAAAACGGTTTTTTTGGGAGGTAACTGTCGCTCAGACACTTCGTGGTGCCCTCTCAAACTCGTGGGTCCTTCTATTCCTACCTTTCTTATTTTCTTGTAGATGCTTCCACTTGTTTGGGTTCACTTGGGCATTAGCAGGTCTCTGTCGGCGTTGTTTGCGGTCCCGTTTCCACACCTGCTCACAGAATTCATCCATTGTGTTTAAGTTGGGATGATTGATGAGCTGCATGAAGTCTCTATACCACACTTTCTGGATGGGGGTCATGCCATTGGAGGCCTCTTTGATCTTGGAACTGTCTCCTTCTTCTTCTTTATGAAGAAGCTCTTCCAGGTGTTCCGTGTCTATGATCTCCAAGGTGACCTTCAGGAGGGTTTGCATGAAGCCATGCTCCACCGCATAGCAGAAGTAGAGTCCTGAATCCTTCCGCTGCAAGCTCCGAAGAAGAAGACCTTGCTCTGTCCGGATCAAACGGTCATTCACTTTGATCTGTGGTGGAAGGAAAAAAGAGTTCCTGTTTAAGTAGGGAACTCCAGTTCTCTTTTAATGAAAGAGGTGTCAGGGAAAACAGAGTCTAAAACTTTGTTCAGCCATGATGGCCCATTGGAGGAGACTTTCTAGCAACCTAGATTATTTCTCAGACTTTTTTGAAAAGAAGAAGAAGAAGAAGGAGGAGGAGGAGGAGGAGGAGGAGGGAAAGAAGGAAGGAAGGAAGGAAGGAAGGAAGGAAAGAAGGAAGGAAGGAAGGAAGGAAGGAAGGAAGGAAGGAAGGAAGGAAGGAAGGAAGGGAGGGAGGAAAGTGGATGCTCAGATAATTTGGAAAATGAGTGCATGCTAGTGTTAGAAACATTTTGTTTCTCTTATTCTATATATTTATGGACACGTTTAAACAATAAATAAACCAAGTGCATTAGTAACATCGCTGAGATGATGCTGTTCTGCATAGCATAGATACACAATAAATGATCAAAATGATTGAACTACCTTATGTAATCCATTGAATGTTACAACACCCATCTTTAATAGGAAAAGAAACTTTGAAAACAACAAAAGCACTGATGTCAAACTACAAATGAACAATAATGATAATAAACGGATTATGTTCCTCTTCCCCTCTATATTAAATCAGAGGAGACTTAATAATCAAAATAATCAATCTGAGTGACTGTGGTGCTTGACAAGAATCAAGAGAAGAAAGCCGGACTTGGTTAGCAACCTCCTATTCCAGGGTTCCCCAAATGGGGCAAATCCCAGGGTGGTGGACTTCAACTCTCAGAATTCCCTACTGATCACAGCTATTGTGCAGAATTCTTTTTCTTCCTCTCTCATCCTTTTAATTAACAATATATAAAAGAAACAACATTACAAAAGAAGGAAGTGAAATGCTCAGAATTTCTGAAGTCCACACACCCTGGGAAGTTACTCACACTGCAAAACACTATTTCTATTCCTTTTTACTCCCACTGTTCCATAAGCAAAATTAAATTGGTAAGGAGACATGTCTACGGTTTTGAATTAAAGCAGCTACAGTATGCATTTGAATGAATATACTTCACTCTGTTGGATTTATAAACAGAACACATTTAATCAATGTTTTCCTTATGGCTCAGAACGAAATCAATGTTCTATGATCTATGTTAATTGTTCCCAGTTTGATGCCATCCAGACTCACGGGATTACGAGTTTCATCGGAATGGCTGTGGTTGATGGGAGCCTTGTCCAACACATGTAGAGGATACAGAAATACTATCTATTTTCTCCCCCCATGCTTTAAAAAAAAAAATGAATCAAAGCACACTTTGGAAATCTAGTCTTACAAAATGCGTAGCGATTGCCAAGCAACGAATGAACTATGAATCCTTCATACAAAATATGGTTTTCTGCCTTTTACAATTAATTTCTTTCTTCTTACCTCCTCCTACGTCCCCAGCTCAGGTGAAGCTGTCTAGCTTGCTTGGAAAAGAGGCGTGCTCTTTTAAAAATGAGGTGATGAAGGGGCCTTCCAGGCTACTACTCAGTTGTCTACATTCTTACTAATCCCCCTGGAAACATGCAAAGCCTAACCATATTCTGTGAGTAAACCATTCTGTGGGGGAGGAGGGGAGACGTCAGAGCTGATTGCTGAGTGGCTCCCATCACTTTCCCCAATGGGAGATGTTCATTGGATGTTGAAATGGACCAAATGAGCAGGTTTCATTGTTGTCCTTACGTGATGCAAGATAAACCGGTCTCAGGCTAAACGGGAAGTTCTCAGGGGGCGATCACAGGGAAATACGTGATAGTGATGGTGATGACTATCAGAATTAAGGGGCCTTGGGACACAGACCTTGAATATTTGCCCTTACCTCTTCTTTCCGCTCCTCATTTTGCTTCTGAAACTGCCAGTAGACCAAAGCACGTTGAGATTTTGGGCTGCACTCCAGAAAAGTACTGCTGTTCTCTACGCCATAAATAATCTTCTCTTCAAGCCCGGCCCCACTTGGGTTGTCTGAAAAAAGCAGGAAGAGAAGGCATTATGTAAGCAGGGGCTACAAGGTGGCCGTCTGCACTCATTAAGACCCCCCCTTATCCCCTCCCCACAAGTGGAAGGGGACCATCTCGCCCGGGGGATGTGGTTTGAAGACAGAAGCAAGTCCAGATCCTTGCAAAGGGGCAATGCTTGGGAAATTGCGACATTGATGTGCATCTGACTTGGAAAACATATGTGTGCTTTGTGGGTGCATTTCTTTCTTTTTTAAAAAAACAAAAAAATCAGTTCCTGGTGACTTCATAAAAATATCCAGAGGCAGTTTGCCACTGCCTTATCCTGGGATGTTTTTCAATTTCTGTACTAGGAGCTGATTAGATGCCATGGAGGTTGCCACCAAAATAAAAATCTAGGATTTATGTTACTTACCTCATCTCTAGAATAACATAAATCTGGGATTTATGCCGCTCGTGTCAGCCCTGAGCTGCCACAGCTGTAAATTGATTATGTCTGTAGAAGCAGCCATCTTGATTGTTACCCATCCTAAACAATGAAGAGGGGTGTGCAAGCCAAGATCCGGAATCAGCTCTAAGCAACCAGTTTAGGTTGCTCTGGCAAGTTCTGCCTCCTTCAGTCTACGGACATGTGGCTTGTGTTGCAGGGAAGATGGGACGCCAGAATTAATTGGACCAGGTACTGCCCAACCAACACTTGTCGCATCCTTAAAATTATAGGCCTAATACTCTTCTGAAAAGGGTGCTCAACTTGTTTTTCAAGCATGGAGTGAATGCACTTTGGAAACAGGGCTGGCCCTATGCTGCATAAGGACAGAGGCCCTTTGTGGCTTTGGTTGCCTCTGGGGACATTATAGTGCTTCCACTGCTTCTGCTGACATGTTTCACATGACTGATCTTTTCCCTGTCCTTGTTTTCAAGACCCAGAGTCACTTGGCCTTTTGTCACCCATTGCTACACCCCATGCCTCCACCATGCCTGTATTCACCTGTAGGAGGAAGAGCCAGATCAGCCTCTGGTAGGTCAAAATCAGAAGAATCCTTTCAGACAAAGAGACTCTATTTTATGAGGCGATAAGGGGCTCCAGCTTCTACATCAGAACGGCTAAAGCAAGCCCACTGCACTTGAGGAAGAGCTGGAAGCTGAAGGCATCTAACATAAGGTGTGAGTTGGCAACGAGGCTCCTTCAGAAGAATTCTCTTCTCATGTTAGGGAACAGCCCCAAAGTAACAGGGGCAGTGAGGCCATTGCGCTGAGCAGGACATTCCTTCTGCTTCCCCCCTCAGTTTCTTATTAAGCCTGTCCCTGGTCACTTAGTCAGTCCTGATACAGGTGGCAGACTTGCCCTTCCAAGATCCCCCCTGAACTCTACCCACCTGCCCTCTTGCAGGTGGTGCTTGGTCAAAGAGGAAACAAAGCCAGGGAAATCCACCAACTCCTTTCTTAACTTGGTTTGCAGTAGGTAAGGCCAGCCCTACTCACTGCCTTCAGAAGGTCGAAGAACTGCAGTTGACAAGTAGCAAAATTTATGCCGGCAGTTTTCTGCCAGCTCAAGGGTGGACATGGGTAGTATTTACCTCAGCTATGAGGAAGAGCTCACAGTCTGCTTAATTATTAATTTCAGTTTAGGGAAGACTATGTTGGAATGGCACAAAGGGTTTTTCCCTTTCTTCTCATGCTTCTTTGGCCGCCATTTTTCCTCCTTGGCATCTGAAAGACTCACCATCTTAATGTTACGCAGACTTAGACACGTTTAAGCCCATTAGCTCAGCATGCCCAACTTTGCATTGACCCTTTTCTCATCACACGTTTTCGATGGCTGCCGCCGAGTTTGTCAGACATGTTGGTGAATGCTAATCCCAAGATAAAATAGTTAATCTTTGAACTGCCCCGGGATCCTTTGCGTCTGGGTTTCTGGGGCTTCAAAGGGGCGTCTTCTTGTTTGGAGTCCATGGCAGTGTCTGGATTCCAGATAATCTTTATTAACGGGCGGCCTCTTGGGGGCATTTAAGAGGCGAGAGCTTGGCAATCAAAACCTTTTCAGCCTTTTTGTTCTCCAAGTGAAAGATACCTTGTCTCCTGCAGTGCAATCCATTGTCAGATCCTGTTGGCTGTTGACTTTGGCAAACAAACCCTGTTTGTTAAACTGCCATCCCCAGGAGAAAGCCAGCAAGCAGGCCGGTTGCTTTCACGTTGATGACAGAATAATCAAACATATCACCTTAATGAGCTTCAGCTATCAAAGCCCAAGTAGGGAAAGTCTCAGAGACGAAAACAGCTAGCAAGCCAGCAGATATTAAACAATTAGGAAAGCAGCCATTCAGATGTTCTCGCTGTTTGTTCCAGGATGCAAGTGGAATGACTTTTTTTTATTTAAAGGATTGTTTGGAGCAAAACTGATGCATTGGAGAGAGAAATGGAGGGGCTTGGAAATTACCAAGGGGAAAAACAGTTGAAAGGAAGAATTAGACACAGCGATGTTCAAAGTCGGCTGGCAGTCGACATTCTAATTCTTGGACCAGAAGGATCCCTCTGTTCCCGGATGTTGTGGTAACCCTTTCACCAACTTTTCTGCTATCAATTTGATTTGCTTATTTGCCTATTTGCAAGCTTTCTGCATGCTTACGCACAATTTTCTGCTCCCCTAAACTGTCACGACATAAGCTTAAGACTGAAAATCAGGCTTGTCAGATGCTATATTTTTTCTATCCTGCTCTATGGAATAGAGAGTTGGTCTCTGACAGAAGGCCACCTGAAGAGGAATAGCCAACACTCCAGAAGACAGGCTTAGGATACAGGAGGATCTGGACAGACTTGAACACTGCGCGCTATCTAACAAAATGAAATTCAATGGTGAAAAAAGTAAGGTTCTACATTTAGGCAAAAAAACCCAAAGTACAGGTATAGTATAGGGGGTACCTTGCTCAATAGTAGTAACTGTGAGAGGGATCTCAGAATCCTAGTGGACAATCACTTAAATATGAGCCAGCAGTGTGCTGCAGCTGCCAAAAAAGCCAACACAGTGCTAGGCTGCATTAACAGAGGGATAGAATCAAGATCATGTGAAGCATTAATACCACTTTACAATGCCTTGGTAAGGCCACACTTGGAATACTGCATCCAGTTTTGATCGCCACGATGTAAAAAAGATGTTGAGACTCTAGAAAGAGTACAGAGAAGAGCAACAAAGATGATTAGGGGACTGGAGGCTAAAACATATAAGGAACGGCTGCTGGAATTGGGTATGTCTAGTTTAACGAAGAGAAGGACGAGGGGGGACATGATAGCAGTGTTCCAATATCTCAGGGGCTGCCACAAAGAAGAGGGAGTCAGGCTATTCTCCAAAGCACCTGAAGGCAGGACAAAAAGCAATGGGTGGAAACTAACCAAAGAGAGAAGCAACCTAGAAGTAAGGAGAAACTTCCTGACAGTTGGAACAATTAACCAGTGGAACAACCTGCCTCCAGAAGTGGTGAATGCTCCAAAACTGGAAGTTTTTAAGAAGAAACTGGATAGCCATTTGTCCGAAATGGTATAGGGTTTCCTGCCTGAGCAGGAGGTTGGACTAGATGACCTCCGAGGTCCCTTCCAACTTTATCATTATTATTATTAAGTATTTGAAATGTGGATTTACAGGCGGCTGTTACGTATAGGCTGGGTTGACAAGATCAGAAATGAGGAAGTGATAAGCCACCTGGGAAAGCCAAGGGAAATCATCAAAACAATTAAAAAACGAAAATTAGAATATTTCAGACATGTGATGCGACACCCAGAAAAATACGGCACACTCCATTTAATCCTCCAGGGAAAGATTGAAGGCAAACGAGGTCCAGACAGAAGAAGAACATCGTGGCTTCAAAATCGAAGGGACTGGTTTGGACAAAACTCAGCAGCACTTTTTCGTGCGGCTGCTGATAAAAACAGGATCGCCAACATCCGATAACGGATATGGCACAAGAAGAAGAAGAAACTGTTAAGTCTAGGAATTGTGATTGATCAGCAAAATGTGGCAGTGGATTTCTTTGTCCACTAGAGGGGGCTGCTGCATTTTGCAGAATGTTTTCCTCCTAAATGGGAAGGCGAAGCCAGTCCAGGCTGCCTGTCTTATGTCTGGATATTCTCAGGTAAGGAGGGTTCATAACACTGCAGGTAACAGTCATGCACACATAGAGTTGAAAAGAAATCAAGTCAGTTGGATTTCCATTAAATTAAAACACAAAGAATTGGGGGAGTGGGTATATATTTTTTCCCTATAGTTGACAGAGGATAGATTTTCCAGTTGACAGAAGTTAATGGATCTGAAGGGATCTGGAACCCAGAGAGGTGGCACTCAGCACAGAGGGATCTAAGAAGAAAAAGACTACGGGTCTTCTTAGAGGGGTGTTTTTCCAAATTTTTAGGGGGTTCGGGGTTGGCCCGGGAGGAACTAGGGGAGTCCTCTCGGAGGCCAAGGCCAGTCCTGTCTGGGGGGCGCGGGGTAAGGGAGGAGACTGGGGAGCTGGCGGAGGGTGGTGTGATAGGTACGATCAGTGGGAGGGGCAGATATGGCGGGAGCAGAGGACCACATCGGGTTTTGGGAGCACGCACACGCTGCTTACTAGCTTGTGGATGCTCCGATCCTCAGGGCTCTACTCGACCTCCA